AGAGCCTTCACCCTGAAGTTGCCATTTTCTCCAGGGGAACTGATCTCTGTTGTCTCAAGATCAGTTGTAATTTTAGGAGCTCTCCAGAACCCACTTGACGGTGGGCAATCCTGTTGGCAGCACATATATTCTAATCCTACCTATCAGTCTCAATTTATAGAAGAAGTTGGTTTTTATACTCTGCTTTTCTCTACTTTGAGGAGTCTCAAAGCATCTTACAATCGCATTCCCTTCCTCTCCTCACAATAGGCACCTTGTGAGGTAGGTGGGGCTGAGAGAGCTCTGAGAGAACTGTGACTGGCCCAAGATCACCCAGAAGGCTTCATGTGGAGGAGTGGGGGATCAAACCCGGTTCTTCAGATTAGAGTCTGCTGCTCTTAACCACAACACCACACTGTAGTTTCTCTTGAAACAGGACCTGCTAAAAACCCATCTAGGGCTGTGGTCACACATGCCAATTAATCCACTTTCTATCCACTTTCCAACTGGATTTTTACTGTGTGAACTGGCAAAATCCAGTTGGAAAGTTAATTGAAAGTGGATTGAAAGTGGATTATTTTGAGTGTGTGACTGCAGCCATGTTTGCACAGCCCATGCAAATGATCAGATCTTTTCTTTTTCTTTTTTGAAAAAGAGGTGCTGGAACTCTCAAGAGGGAAATGAAGCTTTCAATTTGTATACTGACAACTCATGAACTTTTAAACATTTAAAAAAGAATATTGTCAAAGAGGTTCCGGAACTCTGTTCCTGCATGTTCCCCCAGGAAAAAAGCCCTGCAGATGATAAATAGGAGTGATAGTAGTAGTAGTGACAACAACATCTGGAATTATATTGCCAGGAAGCAGATAAATTTGGAAGAGGCCGTTGGGCATCTGATCCTTGATATATAGCTGACTGCTGTATCAGCAGAATACTTTATGGGCTTTAGGCTGTCCTCTACATTATTTTTGAGAGAGCGAGTTTCCAGGGCAATCAAGTAGCTGCTCCAGGTTCATTGAAAAACAAGCATTTTAAAGATATCACCAAAAAAGCTTAAAGTGTTTGTGAGAAAGGTAAATGGGTGACTCGGCCTGGATTTTTTAATCTGATATTTTTAGATTAAATTTTTAACAAGTTACAGTGCCCAATGTTGAACCCATATTCCAGACCACCACCCATTCGTCCACTTATTCCCAGAGCCAGAAGGAGATGGAGAGAAGAATTTAGTGAAGGAGAAGGAACCCAGAGAAGGCCGGGTGGGGGGGAGGCGAAGGTAAAAACAGAGTAGTTAAATGAAGCATTAAATTGTGCACATGCAGACCAACTGTGATCACACTTAACTTCTGCCTCATGCTTTCCCTTTTTTGGATATTCAAATGCTTAGCTACAATAATCACTATAAAAGTCTGCAGTTTTTGATGTGGCATATAAGGTTCCACAGAATCTTGCTGACTGACTGTGGCCCAGTCATTCTCTCTCAGCCTAACTTACCTCGCAGGGAAATCTATGATGCATTGATCTTGAGCAGTGAATAGTTCTTATTAATCACTTATCACTCAATAGACAGAAGAAGTTGAAAACAATTGCAACTGCTAAAGTTCTTTTTGGCTCCCTAACATAAATTTGGTTCCATGTGACAGGCAGAAGACCTAGGCTGACTTTTAACATTTTATTCAGTAACCTTTTATGTGAAAGACTGATGCTACCTAGTGTCACATCACTTTTATGAAGGTAATGAAAAACAATTTACCAAATCTAAGGGCACGATCCTATTACTTTGTCGTATTGTTATACACTTGTGTTGCACTCTTTAAAATAAATTTAGATTACAACACGCCCAGCTATACGACTAGATTTATTGTGTACACTTATAAATTCTTTAAAATATCTTTCATTTTCCTAAGAATAGAGTTTTTGTAAATGTGCACCTTCTTTCCCTTTCCAGGACTCAGTTTGATACAACAAGACCACTGCTACAAACCCGGTCTAGACGTGCAGAAAACTAAGGTGGAAAAGCACTGAGGGGATAGAATGCTTCTGGTTATAGGAGGGGGATTAGATTACTAATTCCCTGAAAGCCAGAAATGAGAAGGGTGTATGAAGGGCTGGGATAGAATTTTCCTCCCTGATGAGCTCAGTTTTTATCTGTGGGGAGTTACCACATGGGGGGGGGAGTATTAAGATTTAAGAGTGTAGTCTCCCCACCTACAGCCTGAAGCAGGCTGTTCTCCCACCTCCAAACTCCACTTTCGTCTCCTTTCATACGAGTAGACTGGTCCTTAGAGTCTGTTGCTGACCATCCACCCTGGTTAAACATCAACACTAGCTTTGTATAATTTTTTTTAAAAAGGCAGTCCATATTATATATGCTGCTGCATATTCTCTGCTTTAATGTATTTGTTATTAATCCCTCCCATACAATCAGTACCTAAGGGAAGCTGCAAAGTACATTTGAAATAACATAATATAAAGTTTGCTTATATGGGTTTTTATGAATGACTAGGGCTTGCATAGCAGTAGGGGGTCAATGGGTAGCTTATTCCTTCTGTTGCTATAGAGAACTTCGTATTGCTTTTACCAATCTGTTGCCCTGTCTGCTCATACATCTTTTTAAGCATGCACTTCACTTGCTTGTATGTGATTTTCCTGTATCTCCCAAATTATAACAGTGTGGGAAAAGAATACAAGACCACTCTTTGTTGTATGATGAGCTTCTTGGGACTTTCATGGTTTATGAAGAGAAATGATTTATCATGATTCCACAAGGTGGTGCTGTTTGCATGTATAGTAAAATACGCTGTGCTGGATAGGATGTTTTTATGGCTTTGTTTTGTGATACCTTCAGGTTGAATAGCAAATACATTGTGAAAGGGTGCTCTTTTATACTTTGTATATTCAGTTGTACTTGTCTTTCAAAAAAAAAAGGTGCCTTGAGGAAACAGGAAATATTCAGTTTGTATTGTGGCTTGGAATACTCCTGATTCTACGGTACAAAACTGATGCTTTGCACTTTGTGTATTTTTTTAAAAACAGTAACACATTTAATCCCCCCCCCCCATGTTGCCTCTCTGCCTGCAAAGTAGAGCTAAAATAGTTTCATTTACCGGCTTATAGCAAGTGTATTTTCATCTCATGCTAATAAATGATAATCGCCATAAGTCAGCTGTGCCTCGATAACACTTTCCACCACCACCAAGATACATCTAGTAGTACAAAATACACCAATCTTTACAAGGCAAAACAAAACTCAGGTCTCGAGAATTTTGTTCAGGAGACTGCACGAATCTGTCTGCCACTGTTTTCTTCCAGTAACTTTCTGGCTGGTTTTCTGTTTTTCTGTTGGTCCATCCAGTATAGAGTTTAAACCTTAGTTTAATTGACTGATTATTTCTCTAGACACACAGCTCCGAAGAGGAGGCTTCATTGAACAGAATCCTCAGAATCTCCTGCAGGCGCAACTGAACATTAAGAGTCGTCGTTTTTATTTTACTGCTACTGTATACTTTGATGTGTGCATCTTGCTGTTCATTTTTTAAAAAGGGTAACACAGCTTGAGGACCATGACATCAGAAGACTTTTTTTTTTAAAACCCATTTGGTCAAACAAGCCAAAACTGAAGTCCCATGTATTTCAGCTGAAAAGTAAAGCTCACGCTTGAACCTCTCACTCTGGAATTAGTATGGCTGCTTATGGTGGAACTATGGCCCCTACACTGTGCTCTATTCCTCAAGTTATGAGCAAGTACATCCTTGAATGAATGAACCCGAGACAGGAAGAAGTACGATATTCTAGGAGGTGTCAAGGCATTCTGAATGTGCTCTAAGTGGCCTTATTTTATATATATATTTTCTTCTGAAGACATTACATATTGTTTATGTTGTAAATATATTATTGGCATATTTTTATGTCAAGGATATAATTAAATTCATGTGAAAGTAGGCAAAACAGTTCTGTAAAAATATGCAATTCTTCCATTTATGAGGAAGGGGGAGGAGGGGGTAATTGTGCCCTTAATGGGTTTTGGCTTCTTTGGGCTTCATTTGAATCTTCCGTGCCTATGCACATCTGCACTGGTCAAGTTTGCTCTTTCTAAAACAATCCTGATTGGGGCCCTTCGCATGCTTCTCAGCTCCGCTTCATCTCCTTTTGTTCTCTCCCTGCTTATGCGCCAATTCTTCCTGCTGCCAACAGCCATATTTGCTTAGGACTGAGAATAGTTTGTTTTTTTCAGCTTCAATTGAAGCATTTGCCTCATCTCCCATCTTCCCATAGCAGAACTTGCTGTTTTTTCTTCCCCTTTGTGTAAACACATGTACATGTAGGTACACAGGAGATAAGAACTGAAAAGGCCAAGTTCTCTCAGCAAGCCACTGTTGCTAATGAAAGATAATGGCGGACTGAGAGGAAAAAAGTTCCTCTCACTGCTGGCTTGTCACAAGTCAGTTTGGGATGAGGAGGTCATTGTGACGGGAGGTTGTTAGATGTGGTTAGATTTGGGGGCAGAAAGGAAAGGGTTTGATTAGCTACTGGAATATTCTGTTGACTTGCATCTTGGGGTATAACTCAAGTAAGAAATAATCTGTAATAAAGCACTCGGGATAACGGAAAAGAGAAATGCTGGATCTGTTTCTGATGGATTTGTATTAATTGGGTATGCTTATCTGTGCTGAGAATGTTATTATTTTCTTCCATTTGTCTGGCTGTATTACCATGGTAAAGTGGTCCACTGGGGCAAATATCTTCAGTTTTGAAAATTTAATTGTCATCTGAAGTCTGAATGGATGACAGTCATTCTCCACTGGGGGGCTCACTGTGCAAGATCTTGTTCGCAGTTTTTTGCAGCATTGATTATTGAATGGTGTGGGTCATAGGCTGAATACAGTAATAAATTCACTGGAGTTTTTAAGCAACTGAATTCTTCAGCTTTCTGGTAATATTCTCAGTGTCTGTAATTGTTTTAGCCAAAACATATGAGATTAAAACTTGAATTTTATATTATTATTTATTTATATATTTAACAGGTCTGTGTATGATGACCAGCCAAATGCACACCAGAAGTTTATGGAAAAACTAGATGCTTGTATACGCAACCATGACAGGGAAATTGAAAAAATGTGCAATTTTCACCATCAAGGCTTTGTGGATGCTATCACAGAACTTCTTAAAGTTAGAGCTGATGCAGAGAAACTAAAGGTAGGACGATGTGGTTGAAAAACAATGGGAAGATTTTGCTTGTGCTGAATATGAGATTCTTGTATTCATGCATTCCTTTGACACATTTTTGTCTTTCCAATCTTGAACTCAGAACATTTTAACTGGTCTAAGTATCGCAGTGCTGAAGACAGAACTATGTTTTTTGTAATGAATAACATTAATTTTAATCAACAGTGCAGTAATTGTACTGCACCTTACATAAAGTTATGGTGAATCAAAAATATGCTAAAATACTTAAAATCGTTTTACAGTGACTCAGTTTTAGGCTGGGCTGCTCCCGCCCTTTCCAACAAATGTTTCCCCTCTTTCTTCAGGAGTAATTGGAATTGTTGGGATTCTTTAGAAGCTAGTTGTGAGATTTTTCTCTGAAGTAAATTGTAGAGCTAGTCCTTTTAGCTCCCTTTACACTTTTGCGAAGAAAATATGCGCACCAAACAGAATGAGCGTAGTTCACCAGAGGTTATGATTAGGACAACATTATATAAAGGATATTCAGATAACAAGGGACCCAATACAGCATCAATGAGGTCATTGAACATCTTTGTTCAGAAATTAATGAGTTTTTTAATAAACTAGAATGTGCTCCCTTATTATGATGACCTAATGAGTCACTTAATATGTGGGAAAGTCTGAGGTTGAGCTCCGTCTGCACCTGCAGCATTAAAATGTTGCTGTGGCTCGGAGATTTCCACGTTTGATGTTAATCAACCACCCAGTGTTTTCATTCAGCAAAGTATGAACGTTTAATTACCATAAAATGCAATCGCCATCTCTTGTGGACAATGAATGGCACATAGAGCTCATTGAGGTTATCAAGAAGGGACCAGTGGTCAATTGGGTCAATTGTTTGACAGACCCATGGAAACAAAAAAAAGTTCAAAAATCCCAAGTAAATTTGAGAAGTTTGCCACAGAATCTGTTAGAAAGAACTGTCATAACTAATTGAAGTTAACAAAAACCCTTGGTGATCAAAAGTTCAAGTTCAAGCTGCAGAGTTAATTTGGATTTGCGTTTCTTTGTTCTAAGTTTCTCATGAAGCATGATCTGATTACAAGGGTGAGCAGTTGCATCAGGGCAATATATGCATTCTTGTCTAACAAAGGTGAAATTATTTTTAAGGTCCAAGTTACTGATACCAACCGAAGGCTTCAAGACGCTGGGAAAGAGGTGAGAAAATGGTGCTGCTCGCGGTGCGTAATAAAAATGCGTGAGGGACAAAAACTGTGTGCGTGACTTTAATTGTCCTGTATTTTAAAACATCCAAGGTGATAGCTCAAACAGAGGAAATAATCCAGTGTAGACTTCAGCAGAGGAATATTACTACGGTGGTTGAGAAACTTCAGTTGTGTCTTCCAGGTGAGTTACAAATATGTGGCACGTCTTGGATACGAAGTGCAGAAGACTTAAAATAAAATAGCTCTTTTGTGTCATAACTGCTTTTTTTAAAAAAGCAAATGTCATGGTATTCTTAAGTAGGATGTTGCTGCTGAGACCCAGCACGGTAGGTCTACTCAGGTCACTGAAAAAGGGAAGGATATCCATTCACAGATATCCATCTGCATTATATAGTTAAATGTCAATTAACCTTTATTTGTTCATAACTGAACTTAATAGCTACAAAGGAAAGCAAAAAATGAAACAAAACAGAAACCACTATACTTGTGTCTTTATGAATCCTTCAGAATTTTGGGGGATTTATTTTTCGCTAGCTACTGCGGTATTGCATATGAGCCTTAGAAGGGTGCCAGCTTTCTCTGACGCAGAGTGTCTTCTAAGACACACCCCAGAAGGCATATCCAACCTTCTTCTCTTGCATGTTTGCTGTAACTTTGGAGAATTACAGTAGGTGGTACTGTTGGCATACTGTGCTCCCTACTGCATAATTTAGGAATACTCTGATTTTTTTTTCTTTGCCTAAGAGATAAATTGAGAAAACGTTAGAATATTTGTATTGAGACAGACTTGAACTTGGTGTCTGAGGTTACTCTTTCTCTGATTCTGTCACTGTTAGTTTGCTTCCCCCTGAGTATGCATATATTACTTTACATTTTGTTTACTTCATTTATCCTGTTGTGCATTTGTTCATAAAATGGATAATTGTGTGTGTGTGTGTATATAAACATGTTTACATGTTTTCTAGTAGAATTTATACATATTCATATCTTCATTTATACAGTACTGGAAATGTACAGCAAGCTAAAAGAGCAGATGAATGTAAAAAGGTGAGTACGTTTCTTCCTTGGATTAATTGGAAATCTAACTTTTTGAATGAATGGGTTCATCCACATGTCTTCTACAATTACCAACAAAATGGTAAAAGGCTACTCTGATCAAGTCATTTAATGACTCTTATTCTAGTCTTATTGTATTCTCTTTGGAATTCCAAGCCTTTGTTTGTTTCATGTGTGTCATTACAAATGATCAGATGTTGTGAGAAAACAAAAGCATTTTCAAAGGCCATGAAAAAATAAGCTTTATTTTAAACAGCAGTGAAATGCTTTCAAAATGTTGAAGCTGTTACATGGCATTTAGAATTTACTTCATCACTTTAAAGCTGGCTATTGTAAACGATTTGCTTATGACAAAAATGATGAGGTTCACTAAATTGTTCTTTAATGTTCAAAATAAATGTATATAACTCCTTTTAAAAGTTCTCTGTTAAATGCTTTGTGTGTGTTGTTGTTTTTGTTGTTATTTGGTTTAGCTGTTTGATGCAGTTACTCTTAAGACAAAAGTTTGCTTAGGTATGAGCAACAAAGTACATTTCAAAATACCCACAGATATTTGCAAGCAGTATCATTTCTCTGAGTGAACTCAGATAAGGGCTATTTGGGTCTGTTATGACCTGTATGTGGGAGCTTTTAAAAATCTCTTTAACATTTTCTAATATTTTTCAGTGTAGGCTGTCCAAAAGTATATAATTTCCAAAAGTATATAATTTCAGTCCTTTACAATTTTATTTAGCTATTTTTAGTTAAATTGTCGTTAGATAATTTTAATCGATTTTTTTTCTTGTATCACTGTCCGAAAGAGAAGAATAATGAAAGGGAATCTCTAGAAGTATTCCTCCTTAAGTTATTGTTCATCGATCCCAGTCCAACACTTTAGCCACTGTACTGTGCATCATCTTTGCTTTTTACACTTACTGTACACACTACTAATCTTAAAACCAGAATGTTACACTCTCAGAAACTTTGGACTGTGCTGTGTGCGTGCTACAATTTCATAGAAGTGGAAGAAAAGAATGTAGAACAAGCACTAAACTTAGCTTCCTTAGAATCTCTGAGATATGCCAGCATAATGGCTAGGTGGTTTCCTGAATACTTCCCCCCCCACACTGCACTTTTAAATTGTTTCTGTGATCCTGATAGCCATCCCCAAAGCTGCTTGTATCCCCACTGGGCTGAGCTTATAGACACTCTTTTCTCTAGCAGGGGTAAAAGTAGCTTGGTTTTTTTAAAACGAGGGGGGAACGTTTAGCCTGCCCCCCTAGCCCAAACCAGTCTCCACTCACAATTATTGCTCCAGTGGCTATAGTTGAGGAGGGGCATCATGGACCTACATATAATGTCCAGCTCCACCTTGATCCCCCCCCCATAAATAAGTATTGCTTCCGAAGAGTATATTTAACTTCTTTATTGTCTAGTGAAAACATCCAAATAGAACAGGTGCAGGTGAAAGACTGTATTAGAAGTTATATGGAAAGTAGAACAGGTGTAGAATATTATTGAAAGACTGTATTAGAAGTTATATGGAAAGCTTCTGATTCTTCATTGGTAGCTGCTAATACATAAGAAAACCCGTGTGTGTGTGTGTAAGTGCCATCAGGCTGCTTCCAACTTACAGTGACCCTATGAATTCATCTCCTCCAAAATTTCCTATTGTTAAGTGTCGTGGCTTCCTTTATAGAGTCGATCCATTTCATGTTGGGTCTTCCTCTTTTTTTCCTGCTACCTTCAACTTTCCCTAGTGTTATTGTCTTTGTTGTCTCATTATTCCCATTGAGTCCTGTGTTCTCATAATATGACCACAGTACAATAGTCTCAGTTAAGTCATTTTAGCTCCTCTGGAGAGTTCAACTTGATTTAATCTAGAACCCACCTATTTGTCTTTTTGATGGCCCATGGTATCCATAAAACTTTCCCCCAACACCACATTTCACATGAATCCACTTGCTTTATCTCAGCTTTCTTCATTTACCAATTTTCACACTCATCCATAGTAATGGGGAATACTATGGCATGAATTAACTTGATTTTGTTCCTAGAATGGCCTTAACTTCCATGGCAGGCCTCATTGGATAGATAATCCAAGAAACAGGAAGAACTGGGGCAGTGCCGTTCCTGGCCACCGTAGCAATTTGGTACTACAGTGGTATCACAGTCTTGGAAGCCATGTGGTCTATGCCACCCCACCGGGTTGTTACAGTAAAAAGGAAATGATTTGTGTGTACAGCCCCAGCTACTTCAAGGAAGAGTGGGCAGCAAACTAAGTCAATAAAGAAGCAAAGAGCAAAACTTGCTTTGTTAAATGTGCTTTACACTACGGCACCTCATTAATTGGTTACCCAACTAATTAATTGTGTGGAGAACCACTGTAAGCTACAGGTGTAGGTTTCAAACCTGGGTCTCCTGGTATAAGACACTCTGCCCTACACTGGTCTTCCTGGGGGGGACCCCCCCCCCACTTCCGACTAAGGTCTGCTGTTTGTAGATCAGATTACTTTATAAAATGTCTGAGATGTCTAATTCACTTTTTGTAACTGCTTTCTTTTGGGGCTACTAAGGGTGGCTGCTGTGTTCATTTTAAATGTGTGCTAAAGTGCTTTGCTGTGCGTCTTTGCATGGGGTCAGCAAAGCTGTGCTGCAACCCGTGCAAAGCAGCTATGCGTGCTTAATTTGCGTGCCAGAAATCTGAAACCCTGGTGGCTCTTTTGCTGGAGTGCTAACTAAGCATATGTAGCTACTTTGCATGGGTTGCAAGACCCTTTAAACAAGATGCTGAACCTGAACCAAGTTTCACAGGATAGCTGTTTGCCTTGCCAGTGTCACACAGGGTCCACTTTGCAAGTACAAACTTCAAATGAACTGTGTAGGTTGTGGATATATTTGCCATGATTTGTTTTGATCACATTCAAATAAAGAATTTGTTGCATGTAATAAGTATTTGGAGGGGAAATAACTGTAGAAGCCTTTTTCCCCCTTCTTCTTTTCAGATATTATTCTGCTTTAAAAACCATGGAGCAGCTGGAAAACATATGCTTTCCTAGAGTTAGTCAGTATCGGTTTTGCCAGATAATGATTGAAAACCTTCCAAAACTTCGTGAGGAAATTAAAGAAATTTCCATGTCTGATCTTAAGGATTTCCTAGAGAGTATCCGGAAGCATTCAGATAAAATTGGTGAAACAGCAATGAAACAGGTATGTTTGAGATCTAACCAAACTTACTGCTATTAAATGTGATGTTTGGCTACACTACTACTCCTAATTTAGCCTCACCTCCAGCCTCACCTCCAGGCTAGATTAGACACTCTATGCTGGCATACCCTTGAGAATGTCCTGGAAACTCCAACTGATCCAGAATGCGGCAGTGTAGGTCCTGACGGGAACGTCACAGATAGCACATACTCAACCTGTGCTGCACCAGCTACACTGGCTTCCAGTGGAGTACCAACTCAGGTTCAAGGTCTTGATATTGACCTCTAAAGCCTTGAGTGGTCTGGGACCCACATATCTTTGGCACTGCCTCCTCTGGTATGATCCCTGAAGAGCATTATGCTCCACTGAAAACAATCTACTGGTGATCCCTGGCCCTAAAGATCCCTGGCTGTCCTCGAGCAGAGCCAAGACCTTCTCAGCCCTGTCACTGACCTGGTGGAACTCTTTGCCAAACAACATCAGGGGCCTGTGGGACTTAATGCAATTCTGCAGGGCCTGCAAGGCAGTGATGTTCCATCAGGCTTTTGGTTGAGGGCAGCGACGAGCAATAACATTGTTGGCACCTTTCTCTTCCCGCCCCCCTTCTCTTACCCCCCCTCCCTATCCTGCTTGTGAGGCGGCAACACGGTCCAGAACTGGTCAATAGTAGACTATTAACACCATCTGGGGATTAATTTTAAGTTTGTAATATTATATTTATTGTGTTTTAAGTAGTGATTATGACACATGTATGTATATTTTTACTTATGTAAATCACCCAGAGCCAGTTTGGTGTAGTGGTTAAGTGTGCGGACTCTAATCTGGGAGAACCGGATTTGATTCCCCACTCCTCCACTTGCACCTGCTGATGTGACCTTGGGTCAGTCACAAGCTCTGGCACAGCTGTTCCTGAAAGAGCAATTTGTGTCAGAGTTCTGTCAGCCCCACCCACCTCACAGGGTGTCTGTTGTGGGGAGGGGAAGGGAAAGGAGTTTGTAAGCCGTTCTGAGACTCCAAGTGAAGGGCAGGGTATAAATCCAATCTCTTCTCTTCTTCTTTGTATTCAAGGATTTGGCAATTCAGAAATCTAAAGATAAAGGGCCCGGGGTGGGGGGGAGCAGAAAGTAAAGCACAGCACCCACCCCTCATATTGCTGACTGTCTGCTTGAAGTTGCTTCTCTCATCCAAACCCCCCCCCCCATTTCATTGTGGCTCTTTGTCAGCAAACTTTCCCTGCCACCTTTGTGTAGCTTCTCTCTTTGTGTCTCAGTGTTTAACATCTAACAAATCTTATGATCTTCGGTGACTTTGCTGGTTAAGAGATAAAGATCTTCTACCTTCCTGGCCGTGTTCATTTACTTAGGACCGTAAGCGAAACTTGTGGAGATTTCTCATATTTAATGTATCTTTTGGCAATGCAGGCACAGCAGCAGAAGACCTTCAATGCTGCTTTACAGAAGCAGAACAATCTAAGCTATGGGAGAAATGTGTATATAAATAATGATGGTGTCCCAGAAACAAGGAATGAAATTGTTTTGAAGCAAAACCTTGAAGAAGAAGAGGAACACGAAGATGAGGTATTTCATATAATTGACTTTTTAGTTGAATAACTTAGTAGTTAAGAACTTAAGCCCTGCTGGATCAGACCTATGGTCCATCTAGTCCAGCATCCTGTCTGACGCAGTGGCCAACCAGTTCCTCTGGATGGCCAGCAACAGGTCATAGAGGCCAAGGCCTTTCCCTGAAGTTACCTCCCGGCTCTGGGATTCAGATGTTTAGTGGGCAAAGAATGTGGATGTTCCCCTCAGTCACCATGGCTAGAAGCCACTGATAGATCTATTCTCCATGAATCTATCTAATCCTTTTTAAAAGCTGTTTATTGCTATGGCCATCACTACATCATCTGGCAGCGAATTCCACAAGTATTTATTTTTTACTTTGGTCACATTTTTAATAAAGTTTTATTTGATAAAGAAAAGGGAATAAATCTGATACAAATGAAGAACTAAAATACAGGATACATACTACAGAGCTGTTATAAGCATCAATTATACAAACTCAAAATTACCTTCTCATTCTAAATAAAAAAGCATTCAATTTTCCAAATTGATCAGACACTTGGCCATGTAATAAACAGGTTAGTTTACATAAGTGAATACACTCTGCTGATTTTGCTAACCAATCCTCCTTCGGAAGTGAATTCACATTTTAATCACTCTCTGTGTAAAGTAGTATTTCGTTTTGTCTGCCCTGAACCTACTGCCCATCAGCTTCATTGGATGCCCTCAAGTTCTAGCTGCCCTGAGCCCTGCCTCTCAGGGAAAGGAGCAGGATAAAAAAATCAAAATAAATGAAATGGACCATGGACCATAAGAACTTAAGAAGAGCCCTGCTGGATCAGACCAATGGTCCATCTAGTCTATCATCCTGTCCCACACAGCGGTCAACCAGTTCCTCTAAAGGGCCAAGAGGGCATAGAGGCCAAGGCCTTTCCCTGATGTTGCCGCCTGGCTCTGGGATTCTTATTCCTGTGGCCATCACTACAGCCTCTGACAGCAAGTTCCACATTTTAATCACTCTCTGTGTAAAGTCATATTTCCTTTTGTTCATCCTGAACCTACTGCCCATCAGCTTCATTGGATGCCCTCCAATTCTAGTATTTGGGGAGAGGGAGGAAAATTTCTCTTTGTCAACCCCACCCTATGCAGAATGTTATAAACCTCTGTCATGTCCTCCCTAAATTGAAAAGTCCCAGACTCTTCAGTATTTCCTCATAGGGAAGGTGTTCCAACCTCCTCCTCATCTTGGTTCTTCTTGAAACAGGAGGTACTGAAACTTGTTAAGTGGTTTTCAGATGCAAGAAGACCCGAGATTTGAAGAGTTACCAGGCCTCCCTTAAGGGACTTGTGACTGTCCATGTTGGGATTTGCAAGTTCTCTCTCTGTAGTCATGACAGAATTAACTGTTTGTTTATGCATGCTGATGTCCTAGCTAGTTAATTTAGGGACCCAGTGGTAAAGCCTGCAGGTATTTGCTGCCAGAGCAAGGTGACAAAATGCATAATTAGTTAGCACTGGGATTCTCCAATTGGGTAATCAATACATTGGGGATAGACTAGAGAGTAAGTTTTGGGTTTCAGTTTTATTGCTCTTTGTTCTTCTCTAGTTCGTTCTCACATGAGGTTTAGAAACTGTAAAGATGCAGGTTAGAGCAGCTAGTCAGGATTTTTTATCTTATGTTTGTTTGTTTAATCTCCCAGTAAACCCTTTCCTCATTAGTAAAATTTTATCTTTTAAAGCTAATACATAAGCGTGCTATTGCTGCATTATTCACTCTGAATAATTTAGAACACCTAACAGGAATATGTAGCTTTTTCCTCTGAACAGCTGTTTCTAGAATTGCCTCACCTCAGTTTTAAAAGTAGCTTGCCTTGAGAAAGAGGGTGAGGAAGGAAGGAAGCAACTGTTTAAGTAAAACAGCTGTAATGCTTGGCTAACACATGCAGGAGAACACAGTGGTAGAATGAACTGCTCTTCCTGAGACCCCAGGTGGAAACCCACATTTTGGAGCCCTCAGTGTTAAACATTCCCTAAGAGTGGAAAATCAGCATGGCAAGCAGAAAAAGAGATATGGCCTTTGCCCCTGTGGCACTAATTTTCTGTTTTGCAGGGACCTTTTTCTTATTCAAAGGGACATTCAAAGCCAGAATCTACCACTTTCCATCTGAAGCAATGCAGTCTGTTCGGTCACTGGAGGGCTCTGCTGCCTCGTTTTCTTGCATTTGTGGACCAGGTCCAAGTCTACTTTGCACTTAGAGAACTAGCTATTCTTTTTCAATCTGCAGTAAAACAGCAGAAAATGACTCCGTGACAGCATAATTAGTGGCTTTGGTGCTAATGTTACAAATGTTTGTACATGTATGTCTTTAAACATGGAAAGAATAGACAGGTCATATTCTGCATTATAACTTGCATTAGAAGAATGTATGCACTACTGTAGTTCAATGTATTTTTCTGTGACATGAAGAAGAGCACTCATGATAAGTCCAGAAGGGTCACATAAGCAAAAGTAAATAGGAGTTTTGTGGTACCTTAAAGACTAACTTTAAATAAACTGTGTTAGACTTTAAGGTGTCACAAGACTCCTTTTTGTTTTTCAGGGAGAACTGAAAGCAGATGTGCGGGTGGGAAGAACTTAATGCAGTTTAAATACCAAGTATACACTTTGCTTTTGGCTGCTACAGTCATAATTTCCTTTTGTCTTTATGAATAGTTCAAAATGTTGATATATCTGACCTTGTTACCTTCTAATGCGTCCTCATCAATGATAGATTTGTAACGAAATGGTTTCTTCACTTTTCCTATTGCTTTTTCTCTCTAAAGTGTGACCACCAGCCTTTTACTACTTATAAGGGTGCCAGCACATTTGCTACAACAGCTGGATAAACAAATGTTCATACAGAGGTGCTCTGTCCAGCTTACTGATCTGAATTTCTAACACCAGTTTGGGGTTGTAATGCAGTATTAGAGCTGATTTTTTAAAATATTTCTTTCCTATAGGTTTTGACAGCTCATGATCTGGTAGATTTTTCCCCTGTGTACAGATGCTTGCACATTTATTCAGTTCTGGTATGTATATAGTTCTTAATTTGTTTTCTCCTTAGTACACATCTGATAGTCAATCTTTTCTGTGAGAAAGTTGCCCGTGAATGTCCTAAAACCTACCTGAGTTCTAAAGCTATGTTCAAGGATGCTGCTTCTTTGCCAGCCAGGTTTAAGGTTCTGTAGTCTGCTCTACATTCATGAATACTTGTAGATCAGTTGTAAATTACAATGAAGGTAAACGGGTACTTGACCGGATAATGTAAGAAACTTGCCCGAGTGCACCGAGTGGTTGTTGATAATTCACAAAAAAAGAAATAAACCCTGGGTCAAGGTGCTTTTAAAAGTTTATTAAGTAAAGAAGTGCAAGAGCGCCAACCATCCTGCCAGAGTTAAAAGTGCTCAAGTCTAGTCTAGATGCATCCTTGGATAAGGACTTAAGCATGAGTTTAATGAGCTGTTCAACACTTTCACTCAGCAGCATCCTAAAATCTTGTTCACTCTTACCTGTATGTAAGTAAATTCACAAGTAAGACTGATACAGAAAAGGAACTGAACAACTAAGTGGTGGAATGGAAACACAGACACAAGTTTCAGAAGGTGAAAGTGTACACAGAAGTCTCCAGGAATTTGGTAAAGATATTACACTGCTGTTGCCACGAGGTCAGCTTAAATTATCTGTTGGATGGAATCAGGAAGTTTCAGTGAACTCCATGATACATTAAAAGGAAGATCATGATTTTCTATAGTGAAGGTAAATTTTGGTGGGTTAATTAGTGGATGATAGAAAACTTTTATAAAAAAATTAAAAAGTTTTGCTTACCTTTACATTTGGGAATGATGGTTTACAAACTAAACTAATAAAATGGATTAAAAAAGGGCATGTAGCTTATGGGTCCACTACCTTCTCAAGCCGGAAGCTGTTCATGTGGTTTTCTACCAGCTGATTTAGTAGTGGTATTAGTCCTGTGCTGACCCAGCTTGAAGAAGCCGTGGTTGTAGAGTGTTAGGGCATCCATTATGGCTAGCATTCAGGTTTGGAACTACCCTGGAAGTGCTTGGTGAGAGAATGCTTGTGTTCATGGGCCTGACATGTATAAAGGTTGGTTTACCCTGACCTGGATTGCTCAGGCATGCCTATCTCATCAAATCTCGGAAGCTAAGCAGGGCTAACCCTGGCCAGTATTTGGAAGGGAGACCTCCAGAGAATACCAGGGCCAGGAGACTAGAGGCAGGGCTATCAAGCCACTTCTCTGAATGTCCTCCATGCCCCAGTAGGAGTCGCCAGAGGTCACCATGAGTTCCAGGCACGGGCACATACACACACACACACACACACAAATGTAAAAATACAAAGAAAAAAAGAAAGGAGAGGTTGGTTTGAAAACTAGGTAGTGGGAGACCCCTTTGATGTTTGATCAGCAGTCAGTCCTCTCAGGGCCTGAGCAGCAGTATAAGTTGCTCCCTTTCCCAAGCCCTTTTTTCTTATGTGAAAATTCCTTCTCTTTCTCCTGCTGTCCTTTACTATATTTCAGTGTTCGGTCTGTATCAGTATTGACCATGGTCAGTGGTCAGTCAAGGTGTGCTTCCAGCCTAGGGTTTGATATTCTGGTTTTGGGGTTTTTTGGTGAGTATTTGTGTGTGTGTGTATGCCTGGAAGTCATGGTCGACTTCTGGTGACCCCCTAGGAGGGCTTGGATGTTTCAGAGAGGTGGCTTAATATTGCCTGCCTCTGCATCCCAGTCCTGGTATTCCTTGGAGGTCTCCCGAGTACATGTGAGAGTCGCCCCTGCTTAGCTTCCAAGATCTGACGAGATCCGGCTTGCCTGGGCTATCCAGGTCAGGATGATATTCTGGTTTGAAGCTGGTTTAAAGCGTCAAAATTCTGGTTTGAAGCTTTGTTACAAAATGCACTTGACATTAAATGTGGTTAACTCTCAGATGGAGCCCTAATGGTGAAACTTGGATAAGGAGGAAAAGGGGAGAACATGCATGCAAGAAAAGAGACCAGGGCAAGAGACCATGTTACACACTCAGTGTTTCTGTCCATGGTTGAGGATCAGGTGTGACTAAACTCACGTTTGGACCCAGTCCTTTGTGATAGTCTTGACCCTTTATTTGCTTTGCTGGTAGTTATCGTAGAACCACTGGTGATTTCAATAGTGATTTTGCAATAAAATCTTCAGGCTCTGGCTGTGGGTGTCCTTTCCCTCAAAGAAAAGATAAATCCAGAGCGTAAGTGAGACAGGCTTTATTTTTGAAAGAGCCACTTGTCCTTTGTTACCATAAACTCTTCTAGTAGGTGTACGGTGAAAAGTGCCGTCAAGCCACAGCTGACTTCTGGCGACCCTGTAGGGTTTTCAAGCTGAGAGACATTCAGTGGTGGTTTGCCATTGCCTGCCTCTGTGTCACGACCCTGGTATTCCTTGGAGGTCTCCTATCCAGAAACTAGCCAGGGTCAACCTTTCTTAGCTTCAGGGATTTGATGAGATCAGGCTACTCTGGGCTATCCAGGTCTGGGCCTCCGAGTAGGTACATACCATTTTTGTGGACTTATCCTCTAGTGGTTGTACTGACCATTTAAACAACCACTTGTTACCCTTGCATGATGATGACAATTCACAAGGCATCGAAGTCACTTGCAATATTATTTTAATAGGAAGCACTATTGCTATCTTGATCTGATAATGTAAACTGCTAGCAAAGCCAATACGCTTGAATTTTTAACCCAATTTTAGTTCTGTATCAAGAAGGTCATCCATGTATATTACTGGGGTGTTTTTCATGTTTTCATCCCCCCCTCCATCCCGTAGTATACTTCTTTGCTCTGGGTTTACTCATTAATGGAAAATGAAATAAGTAAGCTAACCCCAACAGGAGTGAAACTGAACTTACGTCGTTTAGAATTAAAAAATTTTTTTTGCTTACATCAGTGCGTAGATGAGTCAGTTTTATTGTGGCTTTAAGCAGACAGATGGTTCTTTCTGAATGAATCATCTTGATGAAAAAAATGGGCCCATCTCTCTGAGCTCTTTATAAAATATTTTTGTATAGATAATACATTCCATGCCTGTTGAAGCGGCACAATCCAGTTCCACTTCACTTTTCTAAAGAATGTACTTTTGAAAGATTTGTTTCCTGTTTACTTCTGAAGGAGTAACAAGATTTGTCTCTTGTTTTCTAAGGAATATGAAACTAATTGCAACACTTGAAATGTCAATATTGGAGGAACACTATAGAAACTGATCTGAATCATCTTTATTTAACTTATAGTGCATCTAGAGAATATGTTTCAGCTTATTACAATTCCACAATGAAAAAAAGGGCTATTTCTTTGCATTCTCAAATTAGGAAATGGGGGAAGATAGGGATCATGTGTTTAGGAAAGATTCCATATTTGTGTTGCTCTTACGCCAGACTTGCAGTAGCTGTTGTGAATTCAGTCTAAAGCGGGTGGGCGGGAGCAGGTTAACTTGCAGTTGGCTAACTACTTCTGAACAGTTGTAATATGAACATAGAACAAATTATTTTCAGCAGCTTTCAGTATCGCGCCCATGAAAAGCACAAGGGCATAAAATGTATCTGTTTGAATAACAGCCCTGCATGTTAACGTTGGAACTAAACCACAATACAATTTACTTATTTATAATAACATTTATATCTCAGTTTTAGTTTTGCCTTTGGTCAGCCGATGACTGTTTTATACTTCAGTAGTTCTCAATGGGAAGCCTCTGAAAACTCAGCATGCTGCACCTCCTCATCTGCATAATTATGCCATATGTTTCACTTCTTTTTTAAATAGCTTTTTAATTATTCTTATTGTTATTTTAAATTAAAACAGGGATACAGAAAAACAAGAGAGAAAAGGTAGTATAGATATTATAATAATCTATAACTTATTCATAGCAATGATGATCAATATCAGAGTAAATAGAGAACATTTAACATAAACATTTAAAATACATCGTATCCTGAAAGTTTTACATACTGTATACATTTATTATTAAATCCTAGCATTTATTACCATTAGTTACTATTAATATTAACTGTTAGATATTGATTATTACATCATATGTTCCATTACATCTTCATACCACTACGGTTATTGTAATTAAACTATAATCAAGGAGTACATTTTAAAAGCATTTCTAAAAATAAAAAGGATAACAATAAGCTAGGTTCATATATATGTCAAAAACTATTTTTATGGTCTTGAATAAAACATTAATTCAGGGAACACTCATATTTATATCATTATAGTATTATCTATAACAACCTTAATTATATTAGTGCAATGATATTAGTGCCTAAACTATGATTATACTGATGGGGAAAAAAACATAGTAACTTTATTATAAGCTTCAGTTCTTGATGTCTAATGGGAGGTGCTGTGCTGTGATAGAATCTTGCTTAGTCCTCAAAGGCCTCTCATGCAATATCCTGGAGGTTCCACTGACTGCTGTTACATGTACTTGTAGAGAGAAGTCTAATAATTCTAAAGAATCAAAAGTGGGCAGCCAGTGCAAAGGAAGCCTCATATAGGCTACGGTCACACGGAACATTAGCCACGCTACAGAGACGGAAGATAGGTGGATTTTCTGGGTGCGATCTCACCGGCACATCTGGGAAGCGTAGCGCTCCCGTGGGTCACCCGAGGCTTCCTGCCAAATACGCGCGGAAAAAACCTAGTACCTCGGAGGTACTAGTTTCCGGAAACCGCGGGGCAAGGGCGGGCGTCTGATCGCGTTTCCGGTGGCATCCGGCACCTGCCCATGTCCCCTCGCAAAAAGCTCCCCCCCCAAGTCTCCGTGGATGTGCACAAGCACCCAACGGAGCATGCGCATACTTCAGTGTACAGGGAAAAAAACCCGTTTGCCCTGGAGGAAGGCGAAGAGGCGACTGCTTGTCCAACCGTCCCCAGGAGCCGCACGGAAGACAGCTCAGACCCCCCTCCGGGGGACCTGCCTTTCGGTTTCATTGTCAGGACTCAAGCTCCCTCTTCCCCACCCCTTAGCCACGTCCCTTTCTCCCTTCTCCTCCCACCGAGTGCCCTTCTGGGACAAGTAGTCCGTTTCAGCCGCTTCTTTGCCGCATGGTCGTGTGATCGGCACCTCCCCCCTATACACGGGACCTTTACAGGACTTCCAGGAGACGTCTGCTCGCGCAACCGTGCGTTATTTTGCCCCGGGGCTAACAGCCACGCTCCCCCCCCACATTTTTCTGCCCGTGTGACCGGAGCCATAGTTTGTCTGTTCCATTTGCCACCCCGCCACCCCATTAGCTCATGCTAGTGTGGCCACTTTTGGCAAACTGATATTTAATTGCAACTTCAAATCAGTCCTTCCTTGTGAAAACATGTCAGGGTTTTCTCTACTGACTAAGCTGGTCCAGTCCAGCTCGGATATGGGAGCTTCTGTATGTGTATGAATGCATCTTGTTGAACAAATGCAGTGTCCTAAATTTGTTTATATGCATTATTTCCTTTAGGGTGATGCAGAGACATTTGAAAACTACTATAGAAAACAGAGAAGAAAACAAGCAAGACTAGTATTACAGCCACAGTCAAACATGGTACTTGATTATTTTTGTTTCTTTTAACAAAATTAAACATGCATGATCACAGGACTAGTCTGTCTTGAAATCTTGGCCCCACTGGTGGACCTCCTGATGGCACCTGGATTTTGGCCACTATGTGACACAGATTGTTGGTCTGGATGGGTCAGTGGCCTGATCCAACATTGCTTCTCTTATGTTCTTATGATACATCACTTCACTTTTGAAATATGTGTTCTTTTCTTAAAGCACGAAACAGTAGAAGGTTACAGAAGATACTTCAGTCAAATTGTAGGGTGAGTCCCCAGATAACTATTTGTTGTTCTCCTAAGCATCATAATTTTAAATTGGGAAGCTTTTCCTCATTGTAATGTATATTGTAATGTTTGCAGTGTTATTTTGCAGGGGTGTTATGGCATTTATGAGAAACCGTTGCTGACCTGTTCATGGGGTTGCCGGTTCTGGGTTGGGAAATACCTGGAGATTTTGGGGGTGGAGACTGAGGAGGGCGGGGTTTGGGGAGGGGAGGGACTTCATTGGGGCATAATGCCATAGAGTCCACCTTCCAAAGTGGCCGTTTTCTCCAGGTGAACTGATCTCTGTCACCTGGAGATCAGTTGCAATAGCAGGAGATCTCCAGCCACCACCTGGAAGTTGGCAACTACCTGCTAAAGATATTTTCAAATGTTGCAAAAGACAAGGAAGAAAGATGAGGAGTAGTGGATGACTTATGCTTTCTGCTCATATTGCATAATAGCTAAGCTGCTTTGAAAGTGAACTCTGGGTTTACCCAAGAAATGGTTTCTGTTGTGCAAAGGATATCCGTGATTCGGTATAGTTCTCTTCCTTTTTTCTTTTCCTTTGGGTTACTTGGGAATTGTACTCCATTCCTAGATTATAAAGTATATGACAGAAGAACCATATTGCAGTTTTGCAAATGCCAACAATTAAAATAAGTAAACCAGGTAGAAAACAAAATCACCTGATATTCAATCAAGGAGCAACCGAAGACTCAAGGGCAGAATACTTTAGCTTTGTGACACCTGTAATACAAGCAAGCCCATATTTCTCTCCTTCAAATCAATGTATAGTATACACTACTGGACTGTAGCTTGGGATGTAAGAAATCTTCTCCGTTTGCTCTCCCTTCACATAGTCTTGGGCAGCAACATTCCAATATTAGTGCTACTGCAGCTCAGGTACGCGTTTCCAAGTCAAATGGCAGAAGATGATAGAACCGGTTTGCAAATTCTGTTAAATCTCTTCTAATTTTCTTCTTTATTGTTTGGCTGTTAGTTCAGCTGTGTTGCAAGCAATATATATTATTTTTTATTTATTAAAATATTTATACCCGCTTTGCATCATGGCTCAAGGTGGCTTACAAAGCACTTTAAAAATACAAAAGCCAAATAACTTCCTCCGACCTTAAAACCCCCCACCCAGTGCTTTTAACCTATCGCCCATTAAAAACTTAGCAAATGGTGGGGGCAAGATCAGAGTTTCTTTCTTGTTTGTATATGCATTACAAAACAGACCCACAGTTATTTCACTATTAAATCTATTTTGTGTGTGTCAGTTTTTTTGTAGTGGAAGATCACATTTTACATGTAACTCAAGGACTGATAACGAGAGCTTACACCGATGAACTCTGGAACATGGCACTCTCAAAGATTATTGCTGTCCTTAGAACTCATTCGGTAAGTGGCCAGGCCTTATGCTGATGTCCATTTAGTTCATTTACTAAAGGAACTTTTCTGTGTGTTTTGAAGAAGGGTAAAATGTCAAAATGGGGGAAAATACAGGTCTATCTGTAAGGAGGTTTGTTTGTAATTAAAAATTACTCCCATTCGGGGAAGACCTTGCCAAGCTTTTGTTTATCTCAGCAGTATCAGGCTGTGAGCCACAGCCATGGGCCATCTGCATAATCCTCTACTGATTTACAACTCCCTGGATCTTCCAAACTGTGCTTTTAGTCTGGTAGTTTGGAATATGCAGAGTTAATCTGCTGTTATTATTGCAATCTGTCCTAATTAGTTTCAACTGACCTCTTCATTAGATCAGATTGAATTAGTTTAGCACTGAAAGCACACCAGGAAGTAGTTCCTAATTATCATTCCAAAAACCCTGTTTCCAAAATAAACTTCCCCAGCAAAACCTTTAGAGCTGCCCTTTGGTACTCCCAAGCGTTACATCTGCTTTGTAGGGGATCCCTTTCCAGCTACTTGAAGCTGGGCCAGTGTTGTAAATTTACTGCTAGCTAGATTTCCTTGTGTCTCACTTGATAGTGTAAAATTATCTTTGTTTAATCTGCCCAATTGACAGTTGCATAAAAAATAGAATAGCTGGGATTGCTTGTAGCTGACCATAAGATAGCCACTTTTTAAAACTAAGCTTGGCATATTATTTACTGAGGTTAAAGTTGTACATGTGCATCTACATAAAAGACACCAACCAAACAACCTCTCACAGAATTGAAATTATATATTTCCATTTCTTTCTGCTTATTGCAAGTATCAGAACTTGGGCTTGGATCTAGAGTGAAAACTAGAAGTTGGGATGGGACTCTAGAGCTCTACCACCACCCTGTTTTCCTCTACTTTTCTTTGCTAGTGGGAGAGCTTGAGTCATAATAAAGAAGAGATGTGTCTCCTTTTCTGCTGTGCAGACCATAATTTGAGTGGCAGGGGTACATGGTATCTCTTCCTGGCATGCTGTTTCCATCCCCCAAGTTGGAGTGTACCGTATATACTCGAGTATAAGCCGGAGTGTAAATTGTTGAAGGTTTTGTCTTATAGAGGGTCATGATGATGGGATTTGGCTCCCTTCATCTCTTCCCCCACCCCACTCTTAAGATTGACTTGCTGATAAGATTAGTTGCTGACCGGGCAACTAGATGGCAAGTAGGGATGGACATGGACTGAAAAAAGGCGGTTCGGTTAAATTTGGGGTCCATGGACCAAACCCCGAACTGGGATCATGTGAACTGAACCAGACTGGAAAGTTCAGGATGCAGCAAACCCCCCCCCCCCCAATGCTAGAGACTCCAAACTTGCAGGGGATCTCCAGCTGACTCTCCTTTACCTGCCCATCACGTTTGGTGAAGATTAGACTTGGGGATCCAAGTTAAGGCCCCCTCAAAGAAGGTGCTCCCAGGAAAGTGCTTTGGGAAGCCCTTTGAACGGGCTGCACCAGGCAGCCTGAGAGAGCTGGGCTGGTACAGAGAAGTCTCTTCATGCCAGCTCAGCTGCCTTAGGGTGCCTGGCGTAGCCCCTTTAAATGGGATGCATGAGGGAGCCGGAGAGTGACAGCTGAGCCAATGGGGAGAGAATTCTCTTGGGCTGTGCCAGTGGGCCCAAGACAGCTAGGCCAGCATGAAGAAGTTTCTCCCTGCTGGCTTAGCTGTCACTCTCATGCAGCCTGTTTAAAAGGGCTGTGCCAGGCAGCTCAAGGTGGGGTGAAGTGCCCACCAGGAAAACACTTGCCTTCCACCTTTCCCCTGGCTATGGCAAGCCATGGCCCAGAGAAAGTCGGGAGGGGATCTCCTGGGAAGGGTCTCCCACCTTTCTCCTGGCCACAGTGAGCCTCATCCAGGAAAAACTCGGGGGATCTCCTGGGAAGGTACTCCCACCTTTTCTCCTGGCTGTGGTGAGCCATGGCCAAAAGAAAGTGGGGGGGGGGAATCATCCATTGAAAGGGGCTCCCTCATGCAGTCTGTTGAAAGGGGCTGCATGAGGGAGCCCAAGATAGCTGAGCTGGTGGAGAGAGACCTCTCCCTGCTGGCTCAGCTGTCTTGGGCTCCCTTGTGCAGCCCAAGAAAATGCCCCCCCCCCCCGGATGCTAGAGACTCCAAACTTGCAGGGGATTTCCAGCTGACTCTCCTCAACCTGCCCATCGAGTTTGGTGAAGACTGGACTTGGGGGTCCAAGTTAAAGCCCCCTCAAAGAAGGTGCTCCCAGGGAAGTGCTTTGGGAAGCCCTTTGAACAGGCTGCACCAGGCAGCCTGAGAGAGCTGGGCTGGTGCAGAGAAGTCTCTTCATGCCAGCTCAGCTGCCTTAGGGTGCCTGGCGTAGCCCCTTTAAATGGGATGCATGAGGGAGCCGGAGAGTGACAGCTGAGCCAATGGGGAGAGAATTCTCTTGGGCTGTGCCAGTGGGCCCAAGACAGCTAGGCCAGCATGAAGAAGTTTCTCCCTGCTGGCTTAGCTGTCACTCTCATGCAGCCTGTTTAAAAGGGCTGTGCCAGGCAGCTCAAGGTGGGGGTGAAGTGCCCCCCAGGAAAACACTTGCCTTCCACCTTTCCCCTGGCTATGGCAAGCCATGGCCCAGAGAAAGTCGGGAGGGGATCTCCTGGGAAGGGTCTCCCACCTTTATCCTGGCCACAGTGAGCCTCATCCAGGAAAAAGTCGGGGGGATCTCCTGGGAAGGCCGAACCCCGAACTGGGGTCATGTGAACTGAACCAGACTGGAAAGTTCAGGATGCAGCAAAAATGCCCCCCCCCCCCCGGATGCTAGAGACTCCAAACTTGCAGGGGATTTCCAGCTGACTCTCCTCAACCTGCCCATCGAGTTTGGTGAAGACTGGACTTGGGGGTCCAAGTTAAAGCCCCCTCAAAGAAGGTGCTCCCAGGGAAGTGCTTTGGGAAGCCCTTTGAACAGGCTGCACCAGGCAGCCTGAGAGAGCTGGGCTGGTGCAGAGAAGTCTCTTCATGCCAGCTCAGCTGCCTTAGGGTGCCTGGCGTAGCCCCTTTAAATGGGATGCATGAGGGAGCCGGAGAGTGACAGCTGAGCCAATGGGGAGAGAATTCTCTTGGGCTGTGCCAGTGGGCCCAAGACAGCTAGGCCAGCATGAAGAAGTTTCTCCCTGCTGGCTTAGCTGTCACTCTCATGCAGCCTGTTTAAAAGGGCTGTGCCAGGCAGCTCAAGGTGGGGGTGAAGTGCCCCCCAGGAAAACACTTGCCTTCCACCTTTCCCCTGGCTATGGCAAGCCATGGCCCAGAGAAAGTCGGGAGGGGATCTCCTGGGAAGGGTCTCCCACCTTTATCCTGGCCACAGTGAGCCTCATCCAGGAAAAAGTCGGGGGGATCTCCTGGGAAGGTAATCCCACCTTTTCTCCTGGCTGTGGTGAGCCATGGGCAAAAGAAAGTGGGGGGGGATCACCCATTGAAAGCGGCTCCCTCATGCAGTCTGTTGAAAGGGGCTGCATGAAGGGAGTCCAAGATAGCTGAGCTGGTGGAGAGAGACCTCTCCCTGCTGGCTCAGCTGTCTTGGGCTCCCTTGTGCAGGCCATTTAAAGGGGCTCCCTCATGCAACCCATTTAAAGGGGCTGTGCAAGGGAGCCTGAGACAGCTGAGCTGGTGGAGAGAGACCTCTCCCGGCTGACCCAGCTGTCTAGGTCGCCCTTGCACAGCCTGTTGAAAGGTGCTCGCTCGTGCAGCCCATTTAAAAGGACTGTGCGAGGGAGCCCAAGTCAGCTGAACCAGTGGAGAAAGACCTCCAAAAAGCCCCAAAGAGCTGAACCAAGCAGCCCAAAGTTTAGTAAATGTCTGGGGATCTCATGCTTCCCTGAACATCGCTCTCTGAGCCCCAATCCGACCCTAGTTTGGCCCGGATTTTGGCTTGTGAGCTGATTCGTGCCCATCTTTAATAACAAGTGACCAGAACTGAAAATAAATTTGCTGTTTTGCTAATTTTTAAAAACATGCGTGATTTTTTTCTTACTTTCAGTCCTATTGCACTGATCCTGATCTTGTGTTGGAGTTGAAGAATCTGATTGTTGTGTTTGCTGATACCTTGCAGGTTGGTAGTGTTTTTAGCAATGAAAACTATTATTTCAGTTTGAAATAAGCTGAGCACCAAAAGGATTCCACATGGAACTATCAGTGAATTCAAATGCATGTTTCAAGAACAAAATTAGGACAGCAGCATTTGGCAGAATACATGCTTAGGTATATCCTGAAGATGGCTAAAGTGTACACCTAAAATATAAGAGTGTGAAATGCATAGTAAAACACACATACCATAGTGATATGATTATCAGGGGCCATTATTAGCAACACTGTCTGCTTAACATAGTCTTTATGGCAAACCCAGGTTTACCTCTGTGTTATAAGTAAAATGGTGTTATGTTGCACACTTCAGTTTTGATGGGGAGTTCTTTTGACTTGCCATCAGAACTATGTTTCCTAGAGTGTCTTGGGTGAAAGGCATAGTTTTGAAATTTGGTTTCATTCTGTGGTTAGTAATTACAGTAACCTTCTGAAAATCTTGGGTTTGCATCTCTGTTTTCCACGATCATCACTGTGTAAGAAGTGGAAAAGAGTAAGAGTCTTAAAGGTGCTACTGGACTCTTGCTCTTTTCTACTGCTACAGACAGACTAACATGGCTACCCATCTTGATGTATCTCCATGGAAGGCACTGTGTGAGGAGGTTCATGGGAGATTCATGGGGAGATTCTATGTGCAAATAAATGCAAAAATATTTCCCCTATTCTGTCAATAACGTCTGTCCTTGATGAAGCAAGCAAGGGAAAAGTAGGAGAGGGGTGTTATTTGCAAGTCCAGGATCTGCATCAGTTTTATAGAAAACTAGCAGAATGCTCATTATGAAGCTAGTCGGTGACAGACCTATGGAAAGACAGCAGCTGTAATTAGAGTATGTCCGCTCCATTTCCACTCCATTTCCACTTCATCTTGTAGGACTTAGGGACCGACCTTCCTCCCCGACTGCAAGGTTTTCATCTACACATAGGCTGCCTTAGGTACTGTTTGTCAAGTGGCATGAAAGTGTGACAAAGTGACACAAACAAAAATTGACTGCTTAAAATATGTCGTCTAAGGCTTTCACAGCTGGAGTTCATTAGTTGCTGTAGATTTTCCGGGACTGTGACTGGCATCCTCAGAGGTATAAACACAGAAATGTATATCTACCCACCTTCTGGAGTAGATATAAATTTACTGCCTACCATTTTGTTCTCACCTTGACACAGAGAGTATTCCATCTTTCTGTGTTTATACCTCTGAGGATGCCAGTCACAGTTACTGGCGAAACGTCAGGTTCTACAATGCCAAGACCACGGCTAAACAGCCTGGAAAATCTACAGCAAGTAAAGACTGCTTAGAAACCAAACTTTTTGCCTATCAAATCCTGTGACTACGAGGCAGTTTGGAAAAGATATACAAATCATTTCTCATCCTTATGGTAGTGAATGTTCATCTATTCCGTCAAGCGTTTAACAGCCCAGATCAATCATTCTAGCACTTTATATGGACGGCCGCCATGTGCAAACTGTAATGCTCTAATTGTAATTTTATTGTTAATAAGTTATATTGGCTGTTTTATTGACTGTTTTTAGATGTACCGTATCAATCTTTACTGGTTTTTAATTGTTGTAAGCCGCCCTGAGCCGCTTCGGTGGGAGGGCGGGATAAAAATCTAATAATAAATAAATAAAATAAATAAATCACGCCCAGAGCATGTCTTGACGAAAGAGAGGGATGGAGATATGAGCAAGGGAACGAGAAAGCAATATGTGTGGAGCTATCTATGTATTAGGAGCTGCGGTGGCTCAAGTGGTTAAGACGCTGAACCTGCAGGCTGTGGAAGGTCGGTAGTTCAGCAGTTCGAGACCCGAGTGTGCCGCATGATGGAGTGAGCTCCCGTCTCTAGTTCCAGCTCCTGCCAACCTAGCAGTTCGAAAGCGAGAAATTGCAAGTAGATAAATAGGTACCACTTCGGTGGGAAGGTAACAGCGTTCCGTGTGCCTTGGTGTTTAGTCATGCCAGCCACATGACCACGGAAACGTCTTCGGACAGCGCTGGCTCTTCGGCTTTGAAACGGAGATGAGCACCGCAACCCTAGAGTCAGTCTCGACTGGCTTTCGAGCAAGGGAACCTTTACCTTTACCTTTATCTATGTATTAGCAATGCAGCAGGAAGTAAACCCTGGCTCATAAATGGGCAGTGGTAGAAGCTAAAGGCCATCTGAATTTCTAGCCCCAAATGTATCATCTG